CTAATAAATGCCTGTTGACTAATAAGTTCTTCCCAGGGAGATAGGAGTTATCTCATTTGCTAGATATCTTACCCAGAAGAGTCTCTTAGTATGTCACGGGTAGCAGCCCAGCAAATGGGTTTATATTTGCTACTGACAAGTCAATCCACCTACATTCCCAGGTTCCTTGGGAATAATTTATTGTTAGTAATAAGAAGATGCGTGTGTATATATATACATATATATATACGTATATATATATATATATACACGCACACATATATACATATATATGTATATACATGCATATATATACATATATATGTGTATATATATACATATATGTCAAAATCTCTGAAATAGATTTTAGATGATATTCAATTTTGATTCATTAGAAACTGTAGTACTTCATGATTTTAAGTCAAATACCATCATTGAAAGCAAGCAGGCATAGTCTAACACCCCTCTGCATTCTTCTCTTTCCCCAATTTTATCCTTCTGTTACAAATGTAAGGATCTGCCTCCTCAAAATAAGCCTGAACCATTTCCTTCCTGATTTTCTATCTATTAAAATTCCTCCAGATATTCAAAGACTGAAAGGTACAGTCTCTTTAGTCAATAAATCAGCTATCACCTACTTAAAATAATGTAAGATGTTCACACATTGTAAAGAAATCAGAAGGGATAAATAACTGCAATTAAGTATTTAAAACTTCCCTGCTTATATAGCATAACCACTGTGGTAGACATCTTAAATATCATTTATACTCATCATGACTCCAAAATTCTATAGTTGTTGTAAACTGAGCTTTTAATTCCATGTGCAACAACATATCTTTGCACATCTAAATTTTCAGCACTTGAGCCATCAAAAAAAAATTGACATCAATTGGATGTCCAAGATGACATGCATGTTGCCTTATCAAAGATAAACCCGCAATTCAATGATTTTATTCAAGCCAAGCAAAAACAGCCTTCATGCTTACATATGTCTTTATAAAATGAATTTTAACTTTAACTTATCTACATTTTAAATTCATTATCTTATTTTATGCATTATTAAAGAAGTACAAATATTACTATATCCCATGTTTTATTATTTTAAATGACTATATTTTGACATAATTGATTTCCTTTGCAATCCTATGCATTTTACTATATGTATGCATTTAAGAACAGTATTTTTAGAAGAAGTCTATGAGATTCACCAGAGTGCCAAAGGTCCCATGACACAAAAAAGATAAAGAACTCATATTCTAGATAATAGTCTTTAAATTAGTGACATGCTATTCTGTCAGTAACGAAAAAAATGGGAGGACTGATGACTAACTCTGATAGACTTAGTTTTCTCAGCAATGCAAGGATCTAAGACAACTCCAAAAGACTCATGATGGAAAATGCTATCCACATCCAGAAAAAGAATAATGGAGTCTGAATGCAGATGGAAGCATACAATTTGCTCTCTTTTTTGTTGTTGCTTTGTTTTGTTTCTTCTTTGTTGTGGTTCTTTCCATTGGTTCTAATTCTTCTTTAGAACATGACTAATGTGAAAATGTGTTTAATATGAGTGTATATATAGAGACTATATCAGATTGCACACCATCTTGGAGAGGGAAGGAGGAGAGGAAGGAGGATAAAATTTAGAACTCAAAATCTTATAGAAGTGAATGTTTAAAACTAAAAATAAATTAACTAATAAAAAGTAGGGGATATGAGAAATGAAAAAAAAAGAATGAGGAAAAGAACTCTGAAGCCTATGGAATATGGATAGATTGGAATCACTTACAGTACAAAATGGGGAGGACCTCTTTCAGCAGGACCTGAGAAAGAATTAGCTCAAGAGAATTATCTAGTTAGTCTGAGAAGCAGGAGCAAAGAGGTAGTAATGCAAAGCACTGTACAGAGAAGTCATTAAGTTTGTCTTCTGTTACTCTTTGTCTCTGAGAATGTTGAAGGTGAGGTAATGATTTTCATTGTTCTTTCTCATCCTTTTTCAAGATATATGGGCTGAAATGGGAAAGGAGATGCTTTTATTCACATTGTTATCCAAGTGTGTGTGTGTGTTTTCATTTTATCATCCCAAGCATCCATCTTTTATAATTGCAGTATATAAGAGACAGAAAGAGAAACTTGCAGCTGAGACAAGTAGAGCTCAGTTCAGCAAGAGAGAGGCTGACTTTTCATACACTCAAGAGTTTTTCTGTTGTCAAACCTTCCACCTTCCTCCTTCCCCCTAAAAAAATACCCAGGAGAAATAAGATCAATGGATCCAACAAACCTGATGAACATGAAATAAGTCAAAACATCGTATTGCTGGAAAGTAGCAGGTGATAGTATGTGCCCAGAATTACTTTCTCTATCTCTTGAAATCTGTCTGTACTCTTCCCTAGTTAGGACACATTTGGTATAATGAGTTCAAGTTCTGGATCCCACTATTTGGGAAGGAAGAATCTAAGTGTCATAGTAGATAGAAGGCAGATTTGGAATCAGGAAGACTTGAATTAAAAGTCTGCCTCAGACACTACCTGAGCGACCCTGGACAAATCATTTAGCTTTTCTCAGCATCAGTTTCCTTATCAATAAAATGAGAGGGTTGGATTAGATTGGCTCCAAGGTCTCTTCCAGCTCTAAACCTGTGAGTTTATGAAGGGAGTTGATAAGCTAGAAAGTGCCTAGAGAGGGTCAGCCCACATGGTGAAGGACCCCAAGTCTTTATGACATGAGGATCCAATGAAATAAGTAGGGATATTTAGCCTGAAGAATAGAAAGATCAGGGAAGACAAGACAAATCTTCAAAGATATTAAGGGCTGTCATTTAATGAAAGTATTAGACTTGTTCTTTTTGACCCTGTATGGTAAAAGCAGGAGAAATGGAGTGCAAAGAGGTTATGATTCTCAAAGTAGCCCATTACAGTTTAGATTAGAAAACTTTTCTTGAAATTCAGCCTCAATTTGCTTCATCAAAATCTTCTTTTTTTAGGCCATTATTTCGTTTGTTTGTTTGTTTTTTAACTTTTTTTAACACAACTTACAGTGCTGCTTCTAGGACTGCTTTGTATGTACAGAATGTCTATGAGCAAGCTCTTCAAATACTTGAAGAATGCTGTCTTGTGTCATGCTCAGTACCAAGTTTACTCTTCTTTAGGCTAAACATTTCCCCCATTTCTTCAAGCAATAACTATCTGACATGGATTCAAGGCCCAGAATAATCATGCTGGTTGTTCTTCTCTGAACATAGATGGTTTGTTTCCCCTCTTTGGAGGTCTTCAAGTAGAACCTATATGATTGCATTTAAATTACATTATAATGGGGATTGCTTTGGCATATGGATTGGACTATATGGCTGCTAAATTCTAGTTCTAAATTCTGTGCATCTGGGATTCTGTGAATGTTATAACCTTTTTAAATGGACAGATTTAATTTTGAGGAAATTTGGCTAATATCAAAAGCATTATATTGATCTCGAACAAGGCAGTACAGTATGATAGCTAGGGAACTGGATTTGGAGTAGGGAAGAGCTGAGTTTAGATTCTACCTCAGATACTTACTAACTGTGTGACCCTAGGTTCCATGACATTTTTCAGTTGTTTTTAAATGATGCAAGTCTTTGTGACCCTATCTGGGGTTTTATTGACAAAGATACTGGAATGGTTTCCCATTTACTTCTCCAGCTCCTTTGACAGATGAGAAAATTAAGGCAAACAGGGTTAAGTGACTTGCTTAGAGTCACACACCTAGTAAGTGTCTGAGGCTGGAAATGAACTCAGGAAGATGAGTCTTCCTGACTCCGAGCCTGGCACTCTATCCATTGTACCACCTAGCTGCTACAATCCCATTCAGTTCTATATGTATGATTCCACAATTATGTTTCCTGTGCAAGGGTAGTTCAAATAGCAGAGATAATTGATTAGAAAAAAAATTGCAAACCTTGGGAGTCATTTGCCTCCTACGTATGTTCTCCCAGGTTATTGGGGAAAAAATGGCAAACACTTTTGCTAAATTTCTGTGGACTGAATTACAAGCCAGTTGGTCAACAGATAATAAACTTCCTATCCTGAAAATCCAGATAATTAGGGAAATAAACATTTGTGATAATTTCAGATTTTCTAAATAAAGAGCAATATTAAGAGCCAAATCATTAAGAGATTGGTTTACAAATTATTTAGTTGCAATAAAATGACTGTGTTTTGTGTTATCATAGTTATTTTTGATGAGTTAAGGTTTATGTGCACTGAATTTTTCAATGTACAACTTTGTGGCTTTTTAAAACTTCACATTCATTACATAATGTTCCCTCCCATCCTCATGTCCACTTTCTCACGAAACAAGCCATTCCTGGTAACAAAGATGAAAAGTAACCTTGAAAAGAATATATTTTTGCATGTCAAAGGAATTAATTATGCAGGGAGAATGAACAAATAACTGGCAACTTCTTACAATTCATTGTATCAGGCTAGCTCAATCACAAAATTTCTAAGCCCACTTAGTCCAACCTACTTAAATCTAAGTCTCCTCTAAAGCATATGGAGTAAGTCCATATAAAAACTTTCCTGATAGACCTCAAGTGAGTGGGAGTCCATTACTCCTTTGAGGCATCTGATTTCATTTTTCCTAGAGATCCCATTCTGCAGAAGTTTTTTTTTCTTTATATATAGCTTAAATTTTCCAATTCAATTCAATTCAATACAATGGTTATTCATTAAGCATCTCCTATGTGTCGTATCTTCATAATTTTCCTATTCTTCTAGTTCTTCCCAAAGACAACAAGTAGAATAAGACTCTGTTCCATATGACAACCTTTCACAAATCTAAATGGGTATCATGTTTCCCTCACCCCACCCTAAACTACTCTTCTTTGAAATGAAATCCTGATTCCTTTTCTCAATCCTCACGTAGAAATACTAGCCTTTCATGCTAACTAGAATACACAAGAAAAGTCCATTACATTCTTTGAAAAACAGTGTGATACAACAGAAAAACTGTTAGCTGTAAAGTAAAAAAATACTGGGTTCAAATTATACCTTTGATACATTTTTCCCATGTACATTTTCCATGATCAATTGGTTTTGTCTCCCTGGGCTTCAGTTTCCTCATCTATAAGATAAGAAGGTTTAATTAGATGACTTCTGATGGCCCTTCAAATTCTATACGTATGATCCTTGCTAGTAGGAAGTGGGGACAATGGTTGCCAACCCTTCCCGCCTCATCCAACCCTTAAGATTTGCATGGATACCTTGAAGAATGACATGGATGGTAAGGGGAGGTAGAAGATGGAGAACTAATCTCCCCATGTAGCCTCTTTGTGGTTTGCCAAGTGAAACTTTGGAAAATTATTTGCCAGGACTAGGAATATGATAGAAATTATAATAATTAAATAACCATAATTCAAATAAATGGAGAGTAGAAGAGTCCATCCAAAAGATAGACTCAAATTGCCTAGTTGATTTTCTTAGATAGCTGGCTGAGTGTTGTTGGCTAGAGTCTGAATCTGAAAGACATAGTTTAGCCTATAGATTTTTCAGGACTGACAGCCTAATAGTTGAAATCCAGCTAAGACTTTATATCTAAAGGAAGAACAAAAGATGGGAGCAGAAATCAGCAGAGGTGGGCCAGCTAGATGGTGCAGTGGATAGAGCACCAGCCCTGGAGTCAGGAGGACCTGAGTTCAAATCCGACCTCAGACTCATAACACTCATTAGTTGTGTGACTCTGGGCAAGTCACTTAACCCCAACTGCCTCACCAAAAAAAAAAAAAAAATCATCAGAGGTTCTCAGTAGAGATACCCAGCAATGCAGCAACAAAGAACATTAGAAATCCCCAGCAGAGGGCAATGCAGCAGAGAGTTTTCTCTCATTAGAGAAAATTGTTTGACCACAAGTGTATCACTAGAAGATATGGGAATTTTTATAATGTTAGAGTAGAGATATAAACTGCCCCTGCCTCTCATATATATGACCTGGCTACATGCATTTACAATGTATATGTTCTGCCATGTGTATTTCCTAATCACGTGTTCCTTGTGGGTATGTCGCCTCCTCCACTGGTGCTGTGATAACCTGTGGGAGAGTAGACCTTCTTATATGTGTGAGATATACTATTTGTTACTAATTTTGCTGTGCTGCTTAATTAAATATGGGGCAAGTAGGTGGATAGAGCACCAGGCCTGGAGTCAGGTCAAATCTGACCTAATTAATTAAATATATTTCTCATTGGAAAAAAATCCCACCCCTTTAGCTTATGAAAAGCACACTTATGGGGGCTCATTAGCTATGGTTTTGTATGATTACTGTCCCGAATCCACAAGGTGCCTTGAACCAAGGGTAGTATTCAAGTGCTCCCATTAATATAGTATAACTTAAAGGTTCTTAATATTTATTGAGTGCTCCCTTAGATTTTCACCTGTTTGTCAATTTCCACTCAAAAATATGATGTATCAGACTAAATACCAGGGCAGAGTACATTGTAATATCACTTTCTTATACTTATCTTTTATTTCAATTTTTTAATCCTTTTGCATAAGATTAAACAGAGGTATAATAAGCAGTGAAAGAACATTAAAGGCAATATTCAGTAGTATAAATAGCACTGAGTTTAGAATCCAAGAATGATACTAACTTGCTTTTAATAGTGCTTTGAGGTTTACATCTGGGTTCAAAAATTAACTCAGCTCTTTACTAGCGGTAACCCTGGAAAAGACATATCTTTTCTTTAGTCCTCTGTAAATTGAGGGGGTTTTATTAGACAATTCTAATAGTCTTTTGAGCTCTAAAACCTATGATTCTATCTGATGAGTATCTGCGAGTAAAATCTAACTAACAGAGCAATATATAGGCCTAAGCCATGAAAACGGCCATTTGAGTTTGCTCAAGAGATTTCCTATTTGTGAAAACAGTCAATTCTGGAATCTCAGTTACAATAACACAGATCAACTGAAATGCCAGATGGGAACTCTATGCACATATTAAGAGATATCTAACAGTTAACTACAACACATGTCTAATTCATTATACTTTCCAAAGGGCATGTACTGAAAAGGATGGCCCATTCTGAGTCAAGTTAAAGAATCGGGAAGAGTAACCATCTCATGTTCACTTTCCTAATCACCCCATTGCTGCACAGAAAAACATTGTGATGTACATTTAGATAAGGATACTAGCTTTCATTATTTACTCGCTATTTGCTATTCACTTCAAACCATTTTTGATTGGACCTGTCAGAGTGAAAACTTAGCTCTAGTCATGTTGTTTTAGAGACTTGTCTAAAATGATCTAGAGAAGAAAAAAAATGAAAAGAAGTCTCATTGCTCCCTCTGTCTAAGTGGAGCTGGCACATGTTACTTTTTAATAGAATGTGTTTGTGACAAGAAGTTTTCTTTTAGTACTTGACATTTTCAAGACATTTCCTTAACTGACTGAGAGGTAGTCCCATGGTAAGCAGTCAGTTAAGATAATACAATTTGATTATATAGCCCTGTGGCAGCCTTTATGTGAAACATTCCTGGACAATTTACAAGTAGCTTACAGTGAAATTAGCACTGAAGAAAGGCATGTGGCAGTGTGAACTCAGTATGTTTGGTTGACTGAGAAGACTCCTATCAAAAGAAATGTGCCTTGGATCACCAGTACCTAGATAGTTAAGAGGAATTACTACTGATATTTTCTAAAAGTAGATGATTAAAAGGAAATAATTATAATAAGTTATTATTATATTAATAATATCAATGTAATATTAGAGTTTTATTTCTCAACTTTGAGAAGTATAAAAGGAAATTATTATGTTGTTAGATTAATAATAATCATTCTTAAAATAACATTAATTATTAATTTATTATCCATGTATTATATAACATTGTATATTATGTACTAATAGATATTAACATAGTATTATAATTATTGTTGTGTTGATATAAAAATTATTATATTATAATAATATGTCTCATATAATGCTTGCAAGTTTACAAAATGATTATTATTGATATAATTTTGATATAACAATATTATAATAATGGCACTTACATGGTACTTTGAAGTTTTGCAAAGGACTTCACATATACTATACCACTTGATCCTCAAAACAACTCTATGTGAGGTAAATATTATTATTATGCTCTTATAACAGAAGAGGAAACTGAGGCTGATGGAGATTGACAAGGGTCACCCAGCTAGCAAATATCTAGAGCAGATTTCAAACTCATGTCTTCCTGATTCCAAGTCTGATGCTCTATCTACTATGAATCTATATCTATTCTATAGGATCCTCTCCCTTCTCCACCACCCTGCCACCACCAACAGAGAATTATTTTGACTTAGATAAAAAGTTTCTCATATTTTCATGATAAAATGATATTTTGGGACTGAAACTATGCCCTTTAGCATGGGTCCTTAATCATTTTCATGTCTCATACCCTTTTGGCAGACTGGTGAAGCCTATGGACTTGTTGTCAAAATAATATATTTTGTGTTTGCTTTTTTTCTGTTTAGGCAATGGGGTTAAGTGACTTGCCCAGGGTCACACAGCTAGTAAGTGTTATGTGTCTAAGGCCGGATTTGAACTCAGGTCCTCCTGAGTCCAGGGCTGGTGCTCTATCCACTGCGCCACCTAGCTGCCCCTCAAAATAATATATTTTAAAAAATAATTGGAGGAATTGATAAATTTCAGTTAAAGGTTAGTGAAAATAAGGACTTCTTCCCCATCCCATGTTTATAGAACACCTGAAACCTATCCATGCATCCCTTAGTGTTAAGAAGCCCTTTGCAAGAGTATGTGAAATAAAGATAAATACAACTCCAAATAAGATCAGAGGTTGTTATTTTTAATTCTTCTTCCAAATACATTAATTTGTTTCTATTGGTAGTTGCCACCATCTCTACTATGCTTCCTGTCTTCTACAATGCCAGATGTGACTTTCTGTGCCTCAGATGAGATCAAATGCATAGAGCAATGTGACTCAAGGTCCAATGTCAACTAGTACATGCCACTGTTTCCTGAGGCTACACATTGACAAGCTCCAATTCGGTTTTCTGCAGCTTACTGGCACTTTGATAGAGAAAGAGGCCCCTTGTCAAGTAGCAGTCAGGCTACACATGGGCTAGAAGGCAAAGAAGAATGAATGGGAAGAAAAGAAGCGGAGGGAAGTCATTTTTCCAAGTGTGAAAATTAAATCTTGACGTGCTTATATATTTGGATGACTTTTCTTAGGAGAAAGAAACCATGTGAAATGGAGGCTGAATAGATATATCAATGTTCCAGCTATTGCTAACTGCAAGATCAGGAACTGGTGGATAAAGGAATGTTTCTTGATATTTGATATAAAAGCGGATGTTGTGCCATTTGTAGCCATAAGAAAACCAAAGAAATGTGATTTCATTAAGTGTGCTTAACTTCAGTCCTGAATCTGCAAAATCAAGAATGCAGACCTTGGGAGGTTCAAAGATTTCTGTCCTTTCTGGTGCCAGCTTAGTGGAAAACGAATAGCCTCACTCACAGCCAGGCAATAATACTGCTCAGGACACATGGATTTTATCTAGGATTAAGGGGTTACCACTGTTCTCGACCTCCAGAATCCTTCCTTCCTATTTCCTACCCTGAGTCTTAGACCAATGGTAACCATGTCTATCCTTGGGTTCCTCCACTTAAGGAAACTCCAGGAAATATTTTTCCAGTCCTTTTAACTTGCTTTCTTTTGTTGTTGTTATGTGTTTTTTTTTTTTTTAAGCAACATTCACATCATCTACTTTCCCAATGTAGGAAAACAATACTTGATACCATAATAAAATAAAAGGTGGGGGGTAAAAGGTAGTTTAGCTAAACTAACCAACATACAGAAAAATTCTGACATTAGATGTAGTATTCCATATCCAGTCCCAAAAATCTGCAAAGGAGCAAAGGAACTGCGTAGGGGGGTTGGGAGTAACAGAGAGGAAAAGTGGAAGGACATTCCTTTTTCCATGTCTTTTCCAAGGTCAAGTTTCAACTTTGGTAACATCTAGTTTCCATTGTTTTGTTAATTTTGTTCTTTCCATTTACATTGTGGTATACTTTTACTTTCAATCAACTGATGAGAATTAACTGTGTGTGCTTGTGTCTATTTATG